ACACACACACACACTCACACACTGCTGGCAATGATGTTGAGTGTTAGTCGCACGTGCCTTGTTTGCTACCGTCGACAGACTAACTAACCCCCCAGTGTCAGTAGCCTCTGAATTTCTATCCACCAGGGCGTGCAATGATTTTGCCTCCTTTTTCACTGACAAAATTCAGAAAATCAGACAAGCAGTCAGTGCCTCTGCATCAGGAACAGCAAATGTGTTGTCCCTATCTCCACTTAACATCAATTCAGACATCATGACACAATTCCATCAGATTAATGATAAAAACCTAGAGGACATTATTCAACTTCTGAAATCCTCCTCTTGCTGCCTTGATATTATTCCAACAGGATTTTTCAAAGATGTTTTGCCTTGCATGGCCTCAGATCTAATTCATATAGTAAACAAATCTCTTCACTCAGGTATTTTTCCACAGGCCCTGAAAACTGCAGTCATTAAACCGCTCTTAAAAAAGAATAATCTAGATGCTTCAGTAATGAACAATTACAGGCCCATATCAAACCTGCCATTTCTAGGTAAAATCATTGAAAAAGTTGTTTTTCAACAGTTGAGTAATTTCTTGCATTTAAATAACTGTTTTGATGTGTTCCAGTCAGGCTTTCGTCCAAACCACAGCACTGAGACTGCTCTTGTAAAGGTCTTTAATGACATCCACTTAAACACAGACAGTGGCAGAACTTCAGTGTTAGTATTATTAGATCTCAGTGCTGCGTTTGACACTGTTGACCACAACATATTACTAGACCGACTGGAAAACTGGGTGGGACTTTCGGAAACTGTTCTGAATTGGTTTGAATCCTACTTAAAGGACAGAAACAACTTTGTTTCTATAGGTAAATACACATCTGAGTTGACAAATATGACATGTGGGGTTCCTCAAGGCTCCATCTTGGGGCCTCTTCTCTTTAACATCTACATGCTACCACTGGCTCAGATAATGAAGAACAACAAAATAAGTTACCATAGCTATGCAGATGACACACAAATTTACGTAACAATTTCACCAGGAGACTATGCTCCAATTCAAACACTGAGTAAGTGCATTGAACAAATCAATGACTGGATGTGTCAGAACTTTCTCCAATTAAACAAAGATAAAACTGAGGTAATGGTTTTTGGAGCCAAGTCAGAACGTATAAAAGTTAGCGCTGAGCTTCAGTCTGCAATGTTCAAAACAACAGATAGAGCCAGAAATCTAGGTGTAGTCATGGACTCTGACCTGAGTTTCAACAGTCACATTAAAACAGTTACTAAATCAGCCTACTATCACCTAAAGAATATATCTAGGATTGAAAGACTAATGTCACAGCAGGATTTGGAAAAACTTGTCCATGCTTTTATCTTCAGTAGACTCGACTACTGCAATGGTGTCTTCACAGGTCTCACTAAAAAATCTATTAGAAAGCTGCAGCTAATTCAGAACGCTGCTGCTCGAGTCCTCACTAACACTAAGAAAGTGGATCACATCACTCCAGTTCTGAAGTCTTTACACTGGCTTCCTGTGTGTCAAAGAATAGATTTCAAAATACTGCTGCTGGTTTATAAAGCACTGAATGGTTTAGGCCCAAAATACATTTCTGACCTCCTGCTAAATTATGAACCATCCAGATCTCTCAGGTCTTCGGGGACTGGTCAGCTTTCTGTCCCCAGAGTCAGAACTAAACACGGTAAAGCAGCGTTCAGTTATTATGCTCCAAATATCTGGAACAAACTCCCAGAAACCTGCAGGTCCGCTGCAACTCTGACTACTTTTAAATCCAGGCTGAAGACTTTTCTTTTTGTCGCTGCTTTTAATTGAACTATTCATATCTTAGACTGCACTGTAACTTTTATCCATGTATTTTTTCTTTTAATGTTTATTTTATTAGCTTTTATTTTTAATGACTGATTTTAAATGCCATTTTCTTAATCTCTTTCATTTTTTGTAAAGCACTTTGAATTGCCTTGTGTTGAAAAGTGGTATATAAATAAACTTGCCTTGCCTTGCCTTAGTCCAGCAGCTCCCTCTGCTGGTGGCATATGCAATTACAACAGACACATATACACTCCAAAACATACACATACAGCTCTTTAAGCATATAATATATATCAGGCTACAGCCCTTGTATATGTTATGATGTGAAGCACTATTTGGTTTCATGAAAAATATCAACTGTTTATTTGTAGATATCTACTAAAGGATACAAATAAAGTGTGTAATGTAGGCCTATTACTTCTGTTCTGCTTTCTGCACTGGCCTCAGCAGCTGTTCTCCCAGGAAATGTCGGCTCACAATTAAAGCAAAAAATACATAGCCTAATATCCAGAGGAGATGCGTTTAGTGAGTAAAGAAAACGGTAAAGGGCAGAAAGTCTGATGCACATTTTAATCTTGTTAAATAACTTATAATCACAATGGGAACAGTTTGCAGAGCTGTCTTCCTTTACAATAGCTGCGTGCGGATAAGTCCAGCTTTGTTTGACAATGTTGGCAATCTAATGTTGAGATGACATATTAAACCTGTTACATTGTAAGTTAAAGGAGCTATCTGTGCAGTATAGTACATGTTTATAGTTTGTAATGGTTATATTACAAACCTGCATGTTGAACAGTTAATTAGCCTTTGAGAATATGTGTCATTGCAGAGAAAGTTATGCTTATTGATTGCTGTATAATATATTTCAGTAACTGATTCTCATTATACTTGTACATTTTGTATTTCTCTGTTATAGACCGCACATACATTATAGTCCAGGGCTGCCATCTTTAGAGTTCAGCTTGGAGTGAGATGACAATATTAGATTTTGGTACACTGATTAATTTTGTTGCTATTACTGTACTTGTGTACTGCACCTCTTTCCATTAGTCTTTACTCTTTTCAGTGAACATATTATATTTTCTACTGTTGATATGTGTCTATGAACTGTTAATGCTTATCTTTATAGTTTAATGTATTTTAATTACACTTAGACCTGTTTACATCCTACTATCTTGCAACTATAGCCTGTTGTGAATAAAGTATAATTTCATTTACACCCGGTCTCTGTTGCCTGAAATCGACTATGGAGGATACATCAGTGTACCCTCGGTTATAGCTCCTCCAGAGAGACTCCTCTCTCCTCTGCATCAGTGGACCCTCGGTTATAGCTCCTCCAGAGAGACTCCTCTCTCCTCTGCATCAGTGGACCCTCGGTTATAGCTCCTCCAGAGAGACTCCTCTCTCCTCTGCATCAGTGGACCCTCGGTTACGGCTCCTCCAGACAGCCTCCGCGATAATCGATCCTCGACGAGCCTTTAGAGACATTTGTTTTCCTTCGAAGGCAGCACGCCGACATCCGGGTCGCTGCCGGAGGACCGAGGAGTCGAGGACGCAAGCATTTGAGAAATGACAAACGGCTAATTTCGGAGCACTCCTGTACGTCGCCTTGACGCCGGGACAACCGGCGACCCTCCCCGACAGGCGCACAGATGCGAAGGCCCGCCCACAACTGCGTGCACGTCTGTGACCCCAGTTTTAATTGTACATGTCTATGCTTGATTCTAATATAAAATCGAATTAACAGGCCTAGCAGAGGTAGCATATCATCGTCATTTTCCACTCAGGTCTTTCTCACTTTTAGAATATTGCTAGTCATTTACTGTTGGTTAAAGGGTCACTATATCTATTGAATAGATGATCCACTAAAAAATGTACCAGATGTGAGCCCCATAAATATAAATCCATGTATTGAGGTAGAACCTGGACAAATAAAAACAAAACTATATGATATGTCATGCTCTTGCTTGTATGTCTTATTACATTTAGCTTTTGCCTGAAAGTTCAAACACTTAATGCTCAACTAAACCAAGTTTTCTGTGTGTGTTAAACACACAGGAGACAGCAGTGGATTAGAAGATATTTTGTAACTTGGACTGTCCAAGGTCAGCAGCTTCCCCTGCCTCCAGTCTCTGTGAGTGAACAGGTTGTGGGATCGCTGTTTCTAGGATTGACAGTAAACAACTGCGATTCATAAATGGCCAAAATCTTCTAAAATGTCTAATAAGTAAACTTTTGATACATTTCTGCAAATAATTAATACATCAAGATCAGAGATGGGGTTGTTACTCAAAAAAAGTAATATATTACATATGACTTATTACTTTAAAAAAAAGTAATATATTACTTTACTTCATTACTCTCTACATAAAGTACTTTACTCGTTACTTTACTCGCAGGGCTGCCCCTCCCTACAGGCAGATCACGCAGACTGCAGAGGGTGCTTCATTTTGCGGAGGGAGCCACATCTGAAGCGCAAATGCGGCGCACCTACAGTGTTACTCGTTACTTTACTCGACATCCTCATTCTGGATTCGGAGGTCCTCCTTGACCTTAGCTATTAGCTTTACATTAGCATGTTGTCTTTGCAGGTGCTTGTTGAGGTTTGATGTTGTGTTTGCAGCAGTGGATAACAGCTTCTGGCCTGGACACAGTTTGCACCTCACCGTCACATTCCTGTCCTTTCTTCGGACGAACTCAAAATAATGGGCATACCTCCACCCCTCGAAAGTTATCGCTGTTGACTCAGCCATGTTGACGCACTGCATGTGGATGCGCAAGTCGCGCAAATGTTACGTAAATATAAACCTGCGGCGGAAATCCCTCTTGTCTGTCAAAGGGCGGATCTAGTAATTCTTTATTATAGTAGGTAACTGTAGTGTGATTACTGATTTGAATAAAAGTAACGAAGTAACGCGTGTCGGGCAATGTTAGTATCTGTAGTGTGATTACTGATTTATAAAAGTAACGTATTACACTACTCCGTTACCGAAATATATTACTTTACTTTGTAATATTACTTTGTAACGCGTTACACCCAACTCTGTTCAAGATGTAGAAGTTATCCAATTCACACCGCCGGGACCTGCTAAAAGTCTGACTGTACGTCTCCACATCAATGTCAGATAGATAGGTTGTGTCTACTGTTCAGTATTTGATGAGTCTGCCTTTTTTCACTTTCCCACAGAAGTGGTTGTAGAACAAGCCATAGAAGAAGAGATGTGCCCTCTCTTCCCGGAGCCTGTGCCCCTCAGACACCCCATCCCATCGCTGAGGGAGGCCTTAGAAAAGGTGTATATCTTTTAACAATTAAATGTTTTATCATGTGAATATTCTGAATATAGTTATGGCTTGTGTTAATGAAGTTTCTCCTAACAGATAGATCTACTCCTGAGGGCCAGCGTTCACCCCACCAAGTTGCCAGCTATTTCAGCCATCGTGGTTTTAAATGACTCTGTTCTGTGGAATGGAAACTTTGGTCAGACGAACAGAAGTGATCCCTCCTCTCCTGCACCCAATGAGTTCACCGTGTACAGGTGAGATTTATAGTCAAACAGTGTAGATAACAGGAGGAGGAGACTAACATAAAATATGAGAGAGATATGTCAAAAGGGAAGTGGTGATTTGTCTTAATGTCAAGAACGTAGTTATTAATAATATTAGTCCTAAAGGCTGCTCAGCCAGAACACGATATTATCAACTAAATCTGATCAATAATCATTACAGCATGATATAATCTGCGGCCTAATTCTTCTATTGGATTGCATTTGATCTGAGGTTTGGAGTTAAAATTAGGATTAGACCTTTGGTAAGCTTGGTATAGAGACAGTGATAAAGGATAAGGAACCACTCAGTAAATGAAGTGCTCAAATCTGTTCTGTGCAGCAGTAGTGGGAACGCTATTATTAAATCAGGATACATTTATTGAATCATTAGTAATATGCTTGTGTGGCACTCACTTTAATCAGTGTGATTGCAGAATAGCGAGCCTCTCTAAGATCTTCCCCACACTGATGCTGTACAAGCTGTGGGAGGACGGCCTGGTGGGCTCTCTGGACGACCCAGTGGAGAAGTATGCTCAAAACTTCAGCATCAAGGACCCTCTGTGGAGTGGTGGGGGGCCAGCGTCAACCTCAGTTAGGACCCTTGGCATCAACTCTCCTGCACTCACCCTGCGCAGGATGGCCAGTCAGCTCTCTGGTAACTGCACAATGTTTTTATATTTTGAATGTCATGGCGGCCATCTTTGTTAATTCAACCTAGAAGGAACTACATAAAAGAACTGCGAGGCCTGGTTTCACACATGTGAATCACTATCGCTCATTTGTTCAGTGTTGAAAGTACGAGTGATATCTCCCTGGTCCAAAGTGCAAAAGAAAATGACCCCCAGTAAGAAATTAGCATGAAATATATTACATCATGAGGAAGGCGATAACATTTGT